AGGTCAGTGCCGGCATCTGGGCACACCACTGCGGGGTGCTTTAGGGACTCGCAAGCCCAAGGGGTGGTGTGAGGAATCCCGTGTGGGGTGTGTGTGAGTCACGCGGAGGATGCTGAAGTGTGCTAGCACACCGGAGAGGAGGTGATGTAAAAACAACGGAGGCAAGGAGGTCAGCAGTGTGTGCTGCAGGGTGTCAGCTTTGGCACTGGAGGCTGCCCAAAGCTCACTGCTTTGATGCTGTGTAGCAGAACTAAACCTCTGCTTCAGCTGCTGCCGCCGGGCGAAACTCCCAGCTTTCAACCTGCTCCAGTGGGAAATGTCCCTGCCCGTGGCAGGGGTCGGAGCCGGGTGAGCATGAAGGTCCCTTCCAACCCACAGCAGTCTGGCTGTGGAAGCGTTTGCGTTCCGGACGGGTGGGCAGATGTGGGATACAAGCTATGCCGGAGCTGAGCGGTGTCACATCACCCGGGACACCAAAGCCGAGAGCCAGCACGGCTGCTTCACTGCCCTGGAGCATCAGTGGTGCTCCGGATGGAAGCCCTGCTCCAGGCACGGCTACTGAGCTTGGTTTCCCAGGGCTGGGGTTGTAGGGAGAGGAGGATGAGGCCGTTCCCTGCCCTCAGAGCCTCAGGATCCACTTGAAGTCTTCACCGGTGGCCGAGACCTGGTTGTGAAACGCCTGAGGAGGGTCTGTGGCCCCGGGATCGTGGGGCCTGCATGAGCTGCACCCCTGGTTGAGCACCAGCTTGCGATGAGGCGAGGGACGAAGCCTTTTTGCCCCACTGCAGCTGGGGCCATGCTATGGTAGCGATGCTCTGGGCTCTGGGCACGCTGCTGTGAGTCTCTTCCTGAACAGAATGCTTCCTGAAATAAACCGAACGCATTGGTAGCATGCATAGCCCGTGGCAGGGGGCTGGAACTGGCTGCTCCGAAGTGATGTGGACGACCCAAACCCGCCTGTGATGCTGAGAATAACCTGAAGGGATCTCAAATCGGCAGAAAGAGATAAGAAGAGAATAAATTGACATCTGAGGTCCTGAGTGAGAGGTTCCCCCCTCTCAACAGGTGACTGGGGCCGCTGGGAAGGCAAGAAGCAGCTCCTAAAGGCAAGCTCTGCCTGCGGGAGCTGCCCTGGAGCAGGGGAACGCGGCTGCTCTTGCACAGAGCCCCAGCCTGCTTTGGCTTGGAGGGGACCCTAAAGCTCCTCCAGTCCCAACCCCTGCCATGGGCAGGGACACCTCACACCGGAGCGGGTCCTGAGCACTGCAGGGAGGGCTGACCCCATGTAAAGCAGTGGTTAGAAGGGAAGTTTCACGTCTGCATCGCTTCAGGGCGGAGGAAGCTGCGTTCCTGTTACCAGAAATAAGCGTCCCTAAGCCTCCATCTCCCCGCAGGGCGCCGTTATCACATGGCTCCAGTCTATTTTCCTGCCCTTAGCTCTTAATTAACTAATCTCTAATAATGCTCTTTCTTTTTTGCCTTTAATGAGCGCTTGTGATGTGTCCCCGATTCACACCGCTGACGGCGAGAGCCGCGCCCGGGCTCCCTGCAAAGCGAACGGGTTCTGCTGGAAAAGAAGGGCTTTTCCTGGGAATCCTTTTCCTTTCCTTTCCTTTCCTTTCCTTTCCATCAGCCTTGAAGATCTTCCCTGAGCATCAGCCCCGCAGCCCGATATAGCATCCCCGGGCTCTTCGCTAAGCTGCACCCATGCCTTTGGCCGGTATGAAACGTCCCAGCTCATGTAATGCACTAAGCCGGTCGATTGCATTAAGGCTACTTAGGAATTAATAGCTTTAAGGAAGCTGTTTGTGTTTCCTCCTCTAAAGCACTTTAGCGAACGTTCTGTGGCCCCTCAAAGAAATGTCACCGGTAAACCAGGGCTCGGCTGGCATCTCTTTGATAGAATAAATGGGGTTTCTCACCACCCCAAGGCCGCGGGCTGGCTCTGGGACCTGGGTGCTTGGGTTTAAGCAGGGAAATCCGTCTGGAGGTAGCTCTGAAGCAGTGGCCTGGTTTGAATGAATGAAGCTCACGCCCATAGGAAGTTTATCAGTTGAAAATCAGGGCACGGTTGTTGGGTTGCTGCGGGGCAGGTTTGGCCACCTGGGCTTTAGTCCTGCATTTAAAGGAACAGCGAGGCGTTCCTGGGAACACCAGCTGCAAGTCCCATTGAAATGGGTGGGAAATGGGTGGAAAGCCCAGCGGCAGAGAGCCGGAGGGTGCCGTGGTTTCACCTCTTGAGCACCTCCAGGAGTTAAGGCCTGCGAGGATGTTCTAATTCCTGCGTCCTGCAAGAGGCTACTCCTAAAATGGATCAGCGCGTTCTATTTCTAGTAGGAGGGCAGTGATTTAGGGGTCTGCTTGCACATCCCGAGCTTAGCAGGGCGTGGAGAAGAGGAAGGTTTGCTTTCTCTCAGCGCTTTATGTGTAAGGGGGAGAAGCTTCCCACCTATAGGGGTGCAAGAAACAGGTCCAAGCAATGAATTCAGAAGCAAGAAGTCAGCAGTAATGCAAATTAAAGAAATCTGTATTAAATTGTGTGTATTTGAACGTTTTCTTTCAGGAGGTCTTTACTTGCAATAGGATTTTTAACACCTAAAGTCACATTTGCAGGCAGCAGAGATACTTCTATCTACAACAGCGTTTGCAACGTCACAAGGAAGTCAATGTCAGGTTGGTGGAACGATATATTACACGTAATATTTTACAAAGCAGTCATTAGAATCTTGTAGCAATGGTGTTACAAAGATCTTCGTTAACCAGGAGGCTTTATTTTAGACACCGTTAGCATGTACACTGTTTGTCTGAAAGCCTGGTTCTTCATAAACCTGCCTCGGGTGATGTCTTCACCCACCTCATACCATGAGACCCTTGCTCTAGGAACTGGCTGCTCTAATGGGGTGTTGAAAGAGGAATTTGACCATTTCATGTTAAACTAGCAATAGGCTGAAAGGAAATAGGGAGACCACAGATAACTGGAGAGTCCTGTCGAAATGAGTGGCCTAAACCGGACTTCTAGGGCAGGAGTACACGCAGGTCTCAGTGGAATCTCAGGTGTCCAGTCAAGAGACCGGTGTAAATCACAGCACGCTGAAGCCCCGCAAGGAGAAACCGTGGTTAATCGTTGCAACGCAGCCCCTACCCTTATGTGACTCCTCTGAGAAGCTCTCCTCTGATACGTGTGGCCACATCATGCGCCAGCCACAGTCCTGCTCTTCCCTAAGGGGCCAGCTGAGCGGAGCAGCCGGCCCCGGGGGTGTCTGGTTGAGAAGGAAGGAGCTGGTCTGGTTCATGCAGTCCTGCCGTGCAGTGTCCCTCAGCAGAGCAATAGACGATAGGCTGCGGTGAGTAGCAAGTTGGCTTTTACGTTAGTGCCCCTTTTCTAGTCAGCCGGACGCAACAAACAACAGAGTTGTGGCTTTTTAATTCATCACCGTGACTAAGCCCGTTGCTGTAACTAGGGAGAAAAGCTGCGACCTGCTTTGGGGAAGGGGAAGGAGAGCACAGATACCTGCCAAAGTCAAGCCTTGCGTGCAGATGGCCTCAAACAGCCCGGCCACCGAGACGCAGACCACGGCTCCGTGTACGGATGCACCCCTGCCTGTCCCGCTGTGAATGGCCTCTCCATCCTAGAAGGAGTTTGAACCAAAGCTGGAGGAGCCGCAAGTACCCAAGTGATTAAGAGTGAAAGCTAATGGGCAGTAATTACGGCAGTAATTAGGCAGCTGCAAACATGGCTTTGTTTGAAGGCCAGCCAGGACCCACGGAGAAGCAGAGGCTTTGCGCAGCCAAATGGGGTGCCTGGCTTGTAGCCGAGCTGCTGCGGTCGTTCGTGCGGGAGGCTGGGGCTTCCTCTCTGGGGTTTCTTTCCCTTTATGCTCAAGGTGATGCTTTAGAGCACCACTTCTCTTCCCCATCACCTTCCCTTCTAGAGGCCGTGCAGCACTGCAAACTCTTTCTGCGCCTTACTGCAGCTTTGTGTATGAGAACAGAGATGCAGCAGCAAATGCAGAACGTGCCTTCCCTTTGACTTCGAAAATCCAATGCAAGGTGCCCTCTCCCTCACAGAGAAAAATGCAACCTGTAACATTTGACCTCTTGGGGACTGATTTAACTTAACTTTTCCCTGGCCTCAAAGCTTGAGGCTTGACATAGGTGTGCAGGAGTGGTGTCCAGTCACTAGGACCCCGGAAACATTTAAAGTCGTAGCTCTAAGTGGCCTCTTTTTGTTGTTGTTGTGGTTTTTCCTTGTCTTAAAACCGGTTGGACTTGAGTATTGTGGCGTGTTCCATGCTTCTTAGCACGTCCAGAACAGCCGTAACTGGCACACGCTCGTGGCACTGATTCCACCCGCTACAAGAGGAATCTTCTAAGCTCCTGCTTGTTTAACTACAAGGGGAAGCAAAAGTCTACACCAGGCTCATTCAAGACATGCGGGCTGAAGCCCCCCTGAGCTCCTAGCTCGGTGGTGTGCCCGTGACATTTGCACTGCTTCGTTAAATTACAGTTTTTGCTCAGGACATGAAATCTCCGCGGAAGTTTGCGTTTTGCTCTATGTACATCTTAAGAACACAGCAGGAAAAAAAAACACCATTGCTTAGCACAGTAACAAAACTTACATGCGATGAGAGGTTTGACAGAATACCTGTATCCTAAGTTATATACAGCTCTGGAAATCCTCTTTCCTTTGACTGCTACCGTGGTACTCCCCAGACACCCAATCTGTTTGCTTGCTAAACTGAAGCACATAAAATACACTGATAGACCAGCTTGAGCAAAGCAAAGATGAGCTTTTCCAGTTCCACTTGTGATTTCCGAATGAGACGGGATGGGTCACTGTGTGGGTTTTAAACTAGCTGTCCCTGATGAGGAGCACGTGAATCTTGCAAGTCCTAGTGGGGTCATTCCCCCAGTTAGGTGCGGAGGTGGTGTATCCACACCGGGGATAAGTGCGTTATCCCCAGGTGCGCTACGGTGTAGACTCCCATATACAAAAAGCATGTGTAGAACCGCGTATTCTGATGGTCGATGCGTAGCTTGTAACGTAGATCTGCACAGTTCTCAGTTTGTTTCTTCTCTGATAACAAGTCCACCCCGGAGAGGAGCTCAGCTGACCGTTGCGATGGCTGGCGTCTTCCCTCCTTCCTCTCCTTCGGCCCCTTCTCCTTCTGCTTCCACCTGGTTGAACTTACCGAGCTTTTTCAAGCTCTCCAGCGCGGATTTCAGAGTGTCCTTCAGGCTGTTCTCCAGGATCCACCCTTCGCTTTCGCATTCAGGGTCCTCAGGGTTTGGGATGCTTTCCAGAGAGGTGTGCAGGAGACGCAAGCCAGCCATCACGGACATCTGAGCCATGGGAAAACAGAGAGCGTCAGGCAAACCTTCGTACCCCGGTCTGCATCTGCCCTGCCCTCTGCTACCAACAGCCCCGGCCGGAGGGTGAACAGAACCAAGGGCACCAGGTACGGCTCAAGGGCTGCGGGGATGCTCCTTGAGAGAGCAGAGCCCGAGCAGCCTCCCCCTTGAGGTGGCCGGGAGGGGCGAGGAGGAGCTGGCAGGGGGAAAGGGGAGGGCGAGGGTGTGCAACCAGCGGGCACCACGGGGAGGGTGGCACTTGGTAAGCAATGAGTGGATGCTTCAACTTAGGAAGGAAGAAGGTGCCGGCTGCTGCGTGGCTCTGTGTGGCCACGGCACAGGGGTGTCCCATGTACCCCATCCCTGGGCCAGCACCTCCTGGGAGCTGCTAATGGGCCCTCTGCTCCTGTACAGGGGTCTCGTATGTGCCTGTTCATATGTGTTCACATGTAAGCTCTGCATATGTGCTCATACGTGAGCTGTTTGGACGTGCAGCCGGCCCCTGGAGCGCCTGCCACCACCCGCTTGCTTTTAACTCTCCCTATTTTCACTTTGACCTCAATCCATTCGGCAAGTATATTAATGTGGTCAAGGAGATGTTAAGGAATCAGCACCTGTGCAGAAGAGAGCAGCACCAGGATCTGAGCCCTTTGGTTTTAGATAGGGATGTGCAAATAAGGAAACTGAGGCGGCAGTGACCTGAGCTCTCGCTGGCTCCATCTCAGGTGAATCTCCACTTCTGATACTGTATTGACCAGTCCCAGCAGCCCTGAATGAGACTTTGCCTACTGTATGAAGCTGGTGCAACACCCCAAACCTGCCTCCGGAGAGAAGGAATGTTCCTAGCCAGGCTCCTGCCTTCTAACACCATTCAGAGCAGCCTGGCTCCCGCTGTTGTTGTAATTGGGAAGAAAAGGCATTGACCTGTGAAACAGAGCAATAAAGAAAAGGCAGCGCCCAGAAGAGGCAGCTCAATGAGGTGGTGAGGATGGGGCAGCAGTGAGACTGGTTTAGTCCTTCATGCGATGGGTAAAGCTGAGATTCTTCTGAGTCCACTCCCGAGGAACAAGTGACAGGACAAGAGGAAACGGCCTCAAGCTGCCCCAGGGCAGGTTTAGATGGAGCTGAGGAACAATTCCTACCCCAGAGGGTGCTCAGGCATTGGAACAGGCTGCCCAGGGCAGGGCTGCAGTCACCGTCCCTGCAAGTGTTCACACAGCTTGGAGACGAGGCCTCAGTGCCATGGGGCAGTGGCAAAATTCCTATGTGGGTTTTGGACTCACGGGACTCCTCACGGATGCGCTTCCATGGACCATTCATTAGCCTGTCGGCCCTGGTCTTCCTGCCTGTGTAGGATCAGTGCCTTCAAACTCCTGGGAGACGGAAGCTACCATTGCCTACTCTCAGATTTTGGGATGTTCTTGTGTCTTTGCCTTTACTCAAGACCAGAAAGGGAGAAACATTGGTCAAAGAAACAAGCTTCATCCAACACTCCCATAGGCAAAGGCAAACTGTCATCCTGTTTAACATAGGGATGCACAATTCACAACACCTTGGTCCTCAAAGAAGTTTCCCTTGGGCCTGAGTCTGGAAACAGTCTCATTTTGTTGTGGGTCTTACGATGACTTAAATCAGTTGACTATTATGATGACTTAAATCAGTTCAGACCCTGTTCTATAGAAGCCACAAGAAGTGACAAATCTCATCACTCCAGTCTTGGGATTTAAAGCCTTTGACATCTTCCTTTCCGTCTGAATCCCAGTTTTGCTGCTCTCTGCCACAGCTCTAATACTTTTCATATCAATGGCTGTTGCAAGCAAATATTGGCAGGCTCGGGCTCAACATCTGACCGCCACATTGCTCTCCACTTGTGCCACCTCACTGCAGGTCAGCAGGATCATACTAAGTCCCACTGTTTGACAGCAACATCCGCCGCACTGACAGGCTCCCTGGCTGGCCCTAAGTCACTGAGTAGGGTTGTGCTTTATGAAAGGAAGGCACTTTTGGGTCCCTGGGATGAGATTCCCCAAAAGCAGTGCCAAACGTATGGGGTCTCATCACCTCCACTGACCGGGGCTTGCCTTCCCTTCTGGATGAGAAGAGGCCAGGGGGTCGGAGACCCCTATTAGTAACTCAGTCTGTCTCTTACATGATAGCACAGAGCCTCGGACCGTCAGTGTGGCTGAAGTCCTGCATGAACAACGCCATGCTGGAGGTGCCAGGCGGGAGGCAGCTTGGCAGTAAAGGGCCTTGAGGTCCTGGTGGACACCAAGTTGAACACGGGACAGCAAATGTGTCCCCGAGGCAAGGCAATGGCGTGGTGTCCTGGTCTGCACGGACAAAGCAGGTCGAGGGGGGTGATCCTTCCCCTCTGCTCAGCACTGGTAGTGCTGGAGCAGTGTCCAGTGCTGGGCTCCCATGGACAAGAGAGATGTGGGGCTGTGACTAGTGGAGTCCCACATCTCTCAAGATGCAGCCCGGCTCCTTTCAGTGGCGCCCAGCGGCTATGGGCGCAAACTGAAACACGGGAGGCTCTGTGGGAACACCAGGAGGGTGCCTGAGCCCGGGCACAGGTTGCCTAGGGAAGTGTTGGGATCTCCCTCCTTGGGGACGTTCTAAAGCCATCTGGGCAAGGGCCCGGGCAAATGGCTCGAGGTGGCCCTGCTTGAGCAGAAGGCTGTGGGCAAGATGATCTCCTGCTGGGCCAGCTCTGGCCTGGGGGGTCCCTCTGGGCTGGGGTGGGGGTGATTGGGAGTTCACTCCTATCAACACATCAGATTCACCCTGCAGTGCACGACGCACCTCCCGCTCGTGTCCCATCGCCCTCGGGAGCTCAGTGCTGGGCTCCCCCCGTGGCACCCATATGGGATGGATCTCGGGGTCCTGGCCATCGCAGCAGCTGTAACCAACCGAGAGCCACGTGTTTATAGAGGCGAAGGACCTGGAGCACCTCGGGAGCCAGCCTCTGCCCCCCTTCACTTGGGAAAGGCCCCATTGAGGGCACCCTTGAGCCCCCATCTCCTCTTTGCTGGCCGAGGCAGGTCAAGAAGACACCGAGGCGTGCTCCGCTTGACCTTCTGCAGCGAAGCCCATCTGTTTACCAGGGTTTAGCCTGAGGCGGCTTAGCTAGAGCAGGGGTGATCTTTTTTTGTCACCCTCATGACCGGTTGTCACTCATGGGAAGCCTCCAGCTCCTGCTGGTACAGGCAGCGTGGGGGTGATAGCACACTGCCAGGAACGACGACTGACTGCGGGGTTGGGCTCCTTTCACAAATAGAGCTTTTGGTGCTTCCAAATAGGTTTATTCTTCCTCGCACCTGACAGAGAAACATTAAACCTCCCTCGAGGGCCCTGCGTCCGTTTGGCACGTCGGGTTTCAAGTGGGGACTAAAGCAATGTCTGCTCCCTGCTTCGGGTCCTCCCTTCGAAGGTTGGCTAAAGAGCAGAGGGAGTTTGAGACCCAAATCTAGACCCTTCGTGGTGGAATAGCACCAGGGGGTATCAGACATCAATATTCCGGAGGGCCCATCAATCCCATAGCCCAGGGGACTGATGTTCTTTAAAGCTTTGCCCCAGGAGGCCTGGGGAAAATCTCACCTTCCATTTCGAAAGGGATGAATTAAGACAAGAGAAGATCCCATTTCTCATGGTGCCACAGGTTGGGAAAACCTCCTGGGTGCACTGTGGGGCGTGGGGAATACAGTACTGAGGGTTTATTGCTAATGTTAATGTTAACATATCGCAGCCACGACTCTCCCGCGAGGCGGCAGAGCTGTGTCACAGGGGTTCCTGCTCACCTTTGTTGCAATGTTAGCATTTCTGTGCATTTTCCCCCCGAGTTTTGTGCATTCCTTTGGATTTCCACACGCAGCTGAAATTCCCCTCTCTTCAAGACCCTTTTGCTTGAACCTGGGCTAAGAACACGAGCTCCTCTTTCTTTCCTAACTGGAGTAACGGCGCTACGAGGAGGTTCTGCATCTCCTGCCATGCAGAGGAGTTATGTTTAAAACAGCACAATGTAAAGTAAGTTTTCTTTACAGTTCATGGGTTATTTGGGTGCTTCTTTCCTGAAAAGCGTCTTCATTCCTGCAGGTTGTAGCTCAGTGCTTCTATCAACACACAGCGCAGGGGCAGGACATGTCTTCCTCCCATGGAATGAACGCATTTGGGTGCCGGTGCCCACAGAACCTGCACTGGGCAGTACTGGCACCTCTTTACAGGCACAACAAAATTAATCCATCTGCTTCACCTAGACCACCTCTTGTGACTGGAAACAGCGGTGGAGCCCATGGAGGGCCTTCAACCAAATGCTGCCTTGAAGCTGGGCGCCACGCATGGCCCTGGGGCTTGTTTTTCATCAGCACATAAACCCCTTAACTGCACTTTCTGTCCCATAAATCACTGCCATCTTGTCCTGATGCTCTGTGCCACTCGTGGCGACACATGTAAAATGAATGCATCGGCCCAGCCCTCGCTGCTCAGCACCCTGCACTGGGCAGAAAACTGGTCCCTTTTCCCCTTATGCAGTGGGATGCTCGAGGCTCTGGCCCCTCGCTGAAGGGGAGTCTGTAACCTCAAGCCCACCCCACGCTTTCCAGCTGTGCCTTTGACCATTCAGGCCTTCTGCAGTTGTTCGCTATGGGATGCTCTCTCAGCCACACAACAGCACCAGATGGCTCCAACCAGATGTAATCTGTAACCCCGAAAGCTCTGGAGCCCCTGCACAGAGCCGGTGCTGCAGCCAAGCGGGGTGGAGGGGACAGGCTTACCTCAAAGAGCCAGACGAGGAGGACGACGGCGCCCATGGAGCTCATCATGCTGCTGTAGTAGTGCAGGAGGGCTTCCCGGCAGCCGCGGCGCCAGAGGTTGAGCTCCTCCGTTTGGTAGTCGTAGCTGTAGTGAGCGGAGTTGTTGGTGACCTGGTACTGGATGCAGGGTCTCGGCGAGCTGGGGTTGCAGCAGCTGAAAGGGACACCGTCCACCAGGTACCTGCCGTCCACGTTGCTTTTGATCCGACTACGGGCAAGGGCAGAAGGGAGCGTGAGCACACACACGTCTAAAGCCAGACCAGGGCAAACGGGAGATGCCCGCGGTGACCTGAGCTTGGAAAAGGACCTACAGCAGCTTTAGGGCCCACCGTACCCAGCTAGACCACTGATCCAGCAAACCTAACAGCTTCTCTCCGGTAACAGCTCCAGAAAGGGGCTATGCATTTATTCTTGGCTTAAATACCAGCTACATTAGCAAGGTGGCCAGTATTTAAAACATGAAACGTCCTTCTAAGCTCCTTGGAGGAGCTCCCCAGCTACTGTTGACTTGAGACTGCGGTTGCTCTCCATAAACAGCCATTTAGTCTGGTACATGGGGAGATGTTTAGATGAGAGCTACTCAGAAGGCAATTACTTCCACTGGCACTGCGAAATAGACCACAGTGACAGGGCTGCAACTCTAACAAACACCATTTTGCTTGGAAAATGACAGAATGGAGAGCCCCAGTGACCTAGAAAGGTGACAAGAGAATCTGAGAGTCACTTGTAGCTTTCTACATGGGTATTTTCAAGCTGCGTCACAGAGAGGTGATGGCAATGGCCTGGTGAAGCCACATGCCACTTTGCAGCCATGACCTAAATATATCTAATCTCCAAATGCAGTTGAGGTTTTACCTCTGGATTGAAAGTATACTCGGAGTTGGGTCTAATTCGCATGGACGTGTCAATGCTCCACCAGTTTCAGACAGATCGGGTCAGGTCTTTGCTCCACAAATAACACAACAATCATACTGCAGGGGGTGGACCTTTCCCTGGAATTAAGGAGATCCTTGCTGTTGGCTTCCAGGAATGTGAGCAGAGACCAGGCACCACTGTGTAGCTCACACCTTGAATTAACATCCATTTGTGGACTTCTAGTGCCCTATTTCCTGCCTCGGTAGTACAAAGAAATAGCTGCGAGTCTCAGTCCCAAACAAGCCATCAGTTATTAAGGACGCTATAACCTTGCTTTCCCCCTGTGCTTTGCCCTTCCACTGCTGCTGGATTAAGTTACAGCCCTCAAATCTCCACATAATGCCGGCAAGGGGTTTTCAAGCAGTTATTTATACCCGCGGGCATACTTTTGCAATGCAAATACTCCCTTATTAAACAGCAAATGTATTTGCTACGACCTCCCAGTGCCATAGCTTAAGCCTGGAACAGTTTTCACTCTAAAGTCCTGACTCCGGGTTGCAAACCCAGCCAGACCCCCCAGGTGAAAACAACATGCAGAGAGACACACGGTGAAACAGCATTTACACAGTCAGAGAGGGACCCCAAGAGAGACACAGCATTTCTTTTAACACAGGCAGTACATTTAAGAGGCAGATTGCTTCCAGCTCACGAGGCCCTTCGTGCAACCACACGGTAAGAACGTTAGCGGATGATGGTCCCAAAGAGCTTTGAATAAAGAGCTCTTCCCCCAGTGCTGAATTCTCTAACAGGTTTGGGGCATTTCTGCTCAATGCTGCTTCTTCATTGCAAAAGTTCACCTGTTCTCGTGCTTATTTTTTCCCTGCGCTTACCGCGCCTAACCTGATTTGGAGATTACTGCCTCTTTGGGCACTGACATCAGAGCCGTTAAGGTGCTCCTGCCCAACAATCTGTTCTGGTTTGCAGAGGGGAAGCTAGTTTTCACGCCAGGTTTCGCAAAAATAGGCACAGGGATGCACACGAGAACATGGCTTTACAAAGGAGAGAACTTAAAACGCATCTGGCTCCAGGGGTTGCTGCGTAAAGGTAGAACATCAACGGGCGTTGATGCCCAATCTCTTCACAGCAATCCATTGAGGGAATAGCAAATGGAAACTGCACCTTAAGCATTCAAAAAGCAGGAGTCACTGGCAAGGCATTACTGGTTCTATCGGTTTCCATGAGACAGATGGATTGCCAGCATCTAGGTGGAGTTTTAGAAGCGGTATCAACGGAATATAGCCAGGGAAGCCTATTTTTAGAAACTTAATAAATTGCATTGAAATCTGCTTTAGGCTTAGAGGAGTCCTGACGCTTCCCTGTTGATCTGGGGAATACGTATGCGTGGCTCAATGGAAGGGCTTTATAAAGAGGTAAAAGACAGTAAAAAATACGATTTTTCAGCCCGTTTACACCACACTGACAGCGAGAACTGCGTTTTGGTGCTTTACGTTTTATGTCCTGGGGGAACTTGGTTGGACTTCATGCTCTTGAAGGTCTTTTCCAACCTAGTTGATTCTAGGATTCCACGAACTTGCAGGGGAGGAAGCAATCTTCACCATTTGACACAAGACCCCTCCAGTCCCTGCCTGTCGGTTACCTTTCTTTAGCCTAACATTTGCCCAACAACGCTACCAAAGGTACAAACCTCACTGAGTCACTTACTCTTTCACTTCCTTGGAGCTGAAGTCCAGGTATCTGTTGCTGATCCACTGGATTTCGAACCAGTCTTTGAAGCCATTGTTCCCGCAGCACTTGAACTCGATCTGGAGCATGTCGATGGTCTTCTTCATGAAGCATCTTCCCGGGGTGTCTGTGTCCCGGTAGAACTTCATGCCGTTCTTGAGCCCCTGGGCCAGGGTGCTCTCCAGAGAGCCCCGCATGAGAAAGCAAAGCAGAGCAACGAAGAAAATGAGAATGTTAAAGAGGAAACAGAGAGCCAGGTAAGGTCTCAGCAAAGGCTTCCACTTGGCAAATTTAGCGGGATCCAGAGAGTCGTAACAGATTTTGCCAGCAAACCCATTGAAGGCGCAGGATAATATACCCATCAATATCAAAGAATTGGGCACAAAGTGGCTTTCAGAATTGTCCATCACTTCGCTTCGCTTCCGGAGCTCGATTTTGAGGAACAACCCCATGCTAAAGACAAGGATCCCAGCAAACACCGAAAACCAGTTCATGAGCCATAGTCCCTGGGCTAGTTTTACCCGTTTCTTCTGGCTGAATTTGACCTTCAGCAGTGCCATCTTTGTAGTGGGAGACGTTGGAAGGTTTCACAGCCTGGACCCCTCTTCTCGGCGGAAGCTGCTTGAGGAAAAACCATTCAGGCACTGGAAGAGAGCCTGGCCAGCTCAGCGGGAAGCGAACCACTGCATGGTCCTTCCATCCTGGGCTCCCCACGCTGGGGATTCAAGCAAGTAAAAATACGCAAAGATCCCAATAGGACAATTTCACATCAGTGAGAAAAACCAGGCAGTGGGCACCTCCAGCTCTTGGTGGTGGTGGTTCCTTCCAAGCAAAGGAGAAACTGTCCCAAGGGTTCAGATGATTTGCTCTGGATCTGCAAGACGTCACTCTAATGCCTTTAATCATTTGATCCAATCTGGAGAGATGTCTGTCAACAGATGAGTGCAAATAATCCCTCATTTTACTATTTAGTAGATTTGTGCTGCCTTATGATAGGCTGCTGGGCACAATATGAAAACCCAGAGACATAAAAAGATCTTTGTGGCCAGAGGAATCCTTTGAGGAAAAAGGAAGAGGGCTTGAGATTAATAAAAACAAAGGCTGTTTGAATACAGAAATACACTTTCCTTTCACAGAATCATAGAATAGTTAGGGTTGGAAAGGACCTTAAGATGAAGCTGATCTAGTCATATCTACAGTCAAAACCACCTTTTCAGTCCCTGTCTTCCTGTGTTGGTTGACTCGAGGTGCCATCCCGTGGCTTACGTGTTCTGGAAGCAGACAGGCGTGCGGTTGACAGCGACCTAAAACCCCTAAGCTTGGCATTTTCTACTTATTCCCGCGGCTTCTGTCATCTCCAGGGCCTTCATAGGAGGGAAGGAGAAAGGAAAAGTTCGGAGAAACTCTGCTTTCACACTGTAGTGGGCAGGAAAAGAGGGATGGAACCCCCTCCTTTGGTGGTGAGCTTCCTCCTCCTGCCACACAGCGGTCCCGGCAAGCTCTTTGCAGTGCCTTAGGGGCTTGGCTTGGCTTGGCTTTGCTCGCCCTGCAGAGGCGCAGAGCGGAGGGGACAGTCCTGTGCTGGCTCACGGCAACGAGAGTTAACCTCAGGCAACCCCAGGCAGTGCACCCATCACCCTGCAGGTGTGGGAGGGTGTGAGAACACACTGCAGGTGAGAAAGGAGCCGCCTCAGGAAGCGAAGGGGAGGCTCTGCCCGAGCCAGGCTGGGCTGATGGTGCTGCCCCAGTACCCTGGGGACATCCCCTTGTGGCTGCTGGCACCTGGAGCACCAGCCCTTGAGGGGAAGGTGGAGGGACGTGCCCAGGAGGAAGGCAAGTGTGAAAGGTGATAGTGATTAAACAATAAGGCACTGAAAGGCAGCCCGTTGGCAGTGTGCTGCCCTGAGTTACCATGGATGCTGTTCGGCTCCCATGTGAGACTCGGGAGGTCTCTCCGGTAAGGACAAGGCTATCGAGCTGCTGCTTTTTTCTGTGCCAAGAGGGGTTTTGTGATGGAGCTTTCCTGGCTGCCCAGGGCAGGGCTGCAGTCACCATCCCTGCAGGTGTTCACACAGCGTGTAGCCCTGGGTCAGTGCTGGCCCTGGCAGCGCTGGGTAAGGGCTGGACTGGGTGAGCTTAAAGGGCTTCTCCAGCCTGGTTGATTCTGTGATTGCAGCGACCTGGGGAGCAGCTTGTAGCTGGGATGTTCCTAGAGCAGGCCTGGCTGCTGGCACTGCTGATGCCTTGCAGGCAGAGGGTGCGTAAGAGGAAAGGAGGAAGGCAATTGTCCACCGGGGACTGCTCCCTCTGCTTGCCCTGAAGTGGGTGAAAAGCGCTGCCTCTGTTGTGCGGTAAGCTGTAATCACATCCCTCCTGGTTTCTTGCCAAAACAGCCCCTACCCATGCAGTGCACGTCACTGTATCTCACTGACTCCCCCGGGGTTCAGCTAGGAAACACGAGGTAGTTTGGAGCAGGGTGCATTTTACCTGACGGCCTGAAGTCAGCTCTAGGCAAATGAACCTGAAACTACTTCCTTTCTGGTCAGTGATGACAGAGGGAAGCTTTACTTACAGAGAAAAAGAACTTTCCCTCGGGACCACAGGGATATGCAGTGAATTATGTCCTGCGGTGCAGTTAGCAGGACAAGAAGCAGTAAACCTGCCCACAGCAGACGTAAGCCTGGCGCTGCTCTGGCTATGGGGAAGTCTGTATTCGGGAGCACAGATGAGTCTGAATACCTCAGTAATTTAACATCCAGATGTCCATGATGAATCTGGTGCAGCAAAGCCGTGTTATTGTGTGCACGGGGGTGTTTCCTGTTCAGTCAGGAGTAAAATAGGGAAAGAGAACCTGCAGCGTATGCTTCAGGGCTCATTGGCCCCTCCAAATTTACTCTTCTCCTTAAGCCAAGGTAACAGGAGGGGGTCTAACAAACGACTCCTCAATGTCAGTGTTTTCTGGGGGATGATCAGTGGCTGACCTCAGGCTCAGGAGGGGACACTCGGGTACCAATTAGACCTCTCAGACTTTAGGTGACACCTTTAAAGTCATCACAGAGAGGGGTCACCACAACCAACCCAAGCCAGACCTGGAAAGCTGCTGCTTACTGAGGTAGTTTCAACAGTCTGATAGCATTAAATGGTTTGGGTTGGATGGGACCTGCAGCGGCAAAACATCCTCACCTCTCAAGTTAGCTCTCACCGTGTTGGGAAGCTTGAAGGGGGATTGGTGGCAGTGGTAAACCACACGCTGCACTCTCAGGCTTCCTTTGAGTGCGAAGTTAACACGTTCCAAAGAGGGGAGTTAATGCTTCCCACTTGCTCCAGCCAGGATTTGCCTGGGTGAGCTTTTCCGTGCGCATCTCGATCTTGGCTGGGATTCACCTTTAATCGGGCAGGCTTCCTACCTCAAGTAGGAAATACTGAAGCTGATCTATAGCAGGCAAGCTAATTGCTGTAAGGATGTTTGAGTTAATGGTCTCCTTGGAGGCTGCCTAGCGAACACAGGTGTGTAAGTAGTTCAGGTGCTATTCTGGAGAGAAAAGTGTTAGCATAAAGTACTGAAAATGCTACTTTGAACACACCATGAATGTGTTCAAATCCACAACATCGCTAAAATACCATCATTTTTATGGGCAGCAATACCATATTGATAGCTTTCCAAAAAAGCTATGCCTGCTAACCTAAACATAAGCCACAAATCTACCACTTAATGCTAAGAGGGAGGAAAGAGTTGGGTCTAATGCAGACAATTCAGCCTGGTATTTGCTATAGAGTCTGCTGCCCAGTGCTGGACCAACTGTTATTGGGCATATGAGGTATAAAAGGCAAATTCCCTTTATATAGGCATGTCCTATGTACCTAAACTACGGAAGTGCTATTAGCTGGTGACAAAATAACCCCCTGGCCCCATTTTTCTTTCGTGTGCTCTGTGACATGAAACGTGTGGCTTTCTCGGGTTCTTTTTTGTTTCCTTTCCTCAGAAGTGGTTAGGTTTCATGGCAAGAGTGAAGATGTCTGGGTTTACCTGTGATAGGAAGTTACTGTGTAGAGATAGGAGGGGGGCTTATGCCCTGTACCTCACGGTTTTGCTCACATTTGTAAGCATGTGGTGTGTACAGGGACGTTCCTCAGGAACAACGTGATAAGATGCTGTACCACGTTGTATGATTAAACAAGTCTTATTGATGACTTCCTTTTTCCTCCTACGTACAGCACCGAGTTGGAAGGCTGCTGTGCCTGAGGCAAGTCGCTGAATTCACTGCCGGGGCTGTTGGACACATGGGAAAGTTGACTTGACATGGATCCTGTGGCTCCTAAACTGCACCATGGCACACGGGCAGAGGGCATTGCAGGGTTTTGCTCTGGGTAGCTCCCAGCATTTCAACCATCGTTATCCACAGTGGAACATGTTCAGAAAGCACCTTCATTTGACCCTCAGGATGGCCACCGTGAGTATTTATTTGTGCATTATTACACTACCACTATTATGAGTACTTATGATTGTGATGCCTAGGGTGTAGTGTTCCCTGCTGAAACGAAAGGGAACAGGGAAGGTTAAAAATCAATGTTTGCGCTTGCAGAAACAGGGAAGAAGTACGTCGGGAACTGAAAGAAGCTCACAAAAGGCTCACAACAGTTATTACTGCTGGGTCCTCCAGTGAGATAAACCAGATCCTGATGTGAATGGAAATGCTGAGGTTCCGCAAGTTGCACAGTTTGGGGTTTATTTTCTTGCTGTTTGTATCTTTCCTGGCTTTTTACAACATGGGCAGAAGGTCTCTTGTGCAAATCCAGCGGCTGTAATGGGAAAGCTATGTGGCAAAATAGGCTGGAGACATGAGAGGTGGGGAGTGCCTGATGGAAAGGGGGCAGAGCGGAGGTGCGAAAGGACGATGCATAAAGGAGGTAAGGAAAGGTACTTGTCTGGATGCAGTTCTCAAATGCAACAAGTCTGCCCTCAGATAGCACTCTTACATGCTGGGAGAAATCCACCTGGTAAAAGTAGGATGCATGTGGAGGGTGGGTGTGCATGCACAAACACTCCTTCCACGGGAGAACGTCTAAGTCGTTGGTAACATTTGAATCAGTTCCAGGTGAAGCCACTGAGGTTTGGTCCTTGTCTATGTGTAGCTATTGCTTACACAGGAAGAAACTTTAAAGGACACCCCAAAAAACCCAAACAAAACCCCAAAAGCAGGCCTTAATTTAAAAAATAATAGTAATCCAAGCCCTCAAAAATATAATGCAGACAAATGCGCACGGAACTGTGCTCTTCATGTAGTCCTTAGGTGTGTTTTCACACAACTGGCATGGCTAGAGCCCACAGCAGAATCTATTTAAACGAAATAGGGAGAGAATGCAAGTTAACTCCATTTTAATTCCTGGTATTCAGAGAAGCAGGGGCAGGCAGAGGGAGGAAATGCTGCTTCTCTGCAGACAAGCTTTGGCCCGTGCGACCTCTCACAGTCACTGCCAGTGCCAACACTCCAAGCTCTGTGTGGTGCTGGGGAATGGGCACACTTTTCTGCCATAGCCTCCTTATGTATTTTCTTGCACAGACAGACTTGCAGCACTGTGTGCAGTGCTCGTGTCCTCAGCAAGAGAAGGACACGGAGCTGCTGGAGCAAGTCCAGAGGAGGCCACAAGGATGCTCAGGGGCTGCAGCACCTCCACTATGGAGACAGGCTGAGAACACTGGGGCTGTTCAGCCTGGAGAAGAGAAGCTGTTTGGGGAGTTACTGTCCCTGACCACGCTCGTTCAGTGGGCTTCTCTGAACAGTTGTCTCCCTTGCAGCATGTTGTTAGTCCTCCCTCCCTGCTGCACACTGGGGGGTCTGCAGGGAAGGGGACTTTTGCAGGCTCTCCCGAGCAGGCTGGGCACAAAAGAGCCCTGGCTCCTGGCCTAGAAGAGGCTGCCAGGCGTTTTCTTGGTGTCAGCATCGCTTATTGCTCTGAAGGAAGGCTCAGAGCTTGTGCCGCCCTCCCTCCTCCAAGCTGAGATTAGCAAAGACAAAGCAGCCCTGACCAGGCTGCACCGAGTCTCCTTGACCCAGGGGAACAGAGACAGCCAGGTGCACCTCCTCAAACCAGCTGCGCACAAGCTCTGCCCAAGCTCCCCTCTGGGTATTCCTTAGCTGCAGACTTCAGAAAGGGAGTTCAGGAGCTGGCAGCCTGCCGCTGGCAGCGCAGGGCACGTCATGGCACTCTCCTTTACGCCCTTTGAAGGAGGCTTCCTTCAGTGAGAGGTTTCATCATCAAGTCATCTAGAGACAGGATAGCACGGAATTCCTCTCTTGTTGAAACCGGACACTCTCAGCAAAACTATATAATCCCTTCCATAACCCAGATATGGGTTTTGAGCTCTTGGACAAACAGCTTACGGCTCACGTGCAGACAGGAAGCAGTTTCTTCTGATGCCTTGTCAGTAGAGGCGAAAGGTACAATACGAAGCTACAAATCTGTGGACTAAGCTTCCAGCCTGTCCATGTTTAGCCTTTACTTTCTGTGGTTCCAGTGAAATAATCGGACAAATTTTATAGTCCAGACCTGCCAAAGGATCCCAAACATTTCATTTCCAAACCATTAATTTTGGGAATCATGTGTCAACATAAAAGGAATCCTTTTTTTTGCATCTAGAAAATAGATGCTAAGAAATTAAAGAAAGAGCTGAGATTTTAAACTGCAGGTTTTAAATCACCAATTACAGATTTACAAATCTGTAATTTAAGTTACAGGTTATGTATCTGTAACTACCCTGTAGAACATTTATAGACACAGAAACTTATTCCTACCATGCCTTTAGATACTTCTGTATAGATTTGATGAGTACGTGGTAATTCTCCCTTCACCTGAGCTATCGCTTCCCACTGGATCTGACTGGAGAATGGACTCTCAGATGAGTGACTGCACTTACGGGATACCAGCTAATACTCTCTCACTCACAGGGCTTTTTACTTTCTTCCTACCTGCTAGGGCTTGCAGAATGCCAGGGCTGGAACACGGGTGACTAACACATGAGCTGTCTGCACTGGCGATGGCAGGAGGGCCACAGGCAGCATCCTGCCTGCATTGATACCGATCGTGACTGCCTTTTCCATATGGATTTTTAATGAAAGAATACTGTAGTGCTGTTGAAATAACCTGATGGAAACGCTGAGGTGGATCCCTTTCTAACAGACCTTAGTATGTTGCAATTGCTATATTGCTGGAGGCTATGGATATGCCAGTAAACCTTTCCTACTGTGTAACTTGTGTTCACATCTGTTTCAAAACAGTTTTGATTTTCTCCTAGTATGATCCTTCAATAGGGAACTGACGTGTGCAACCGTGTGTGTATGTGTTCAGAGCTATAAATCACACGTAAGCATTTGCCTGAGCACACTTTCGCAGGTTTGCTGCTCTCAAATGGAGTTTTCTTGTTCCATGTCACGCTTGAGACCAAGATTCAGTCACCGGTTTTGTATTCCAAAGGTAATGGTAAATCCTTAAGTGCGAGTAATTGTCTGGAACACCTTTAGCAGCCTCCTCTAAGTCATGTTCCTGAAGAGTATTCCCTGACGATTTTGGTTTGACAAGGCTAAGGACTCGGAGGAAAGAAAGGAACTGGGATGTCAGTAACTGACCTCTGACAGCTGTCACCAAGGAAGCGTTTTCGGGCTGAAACTGAAGTCTAAATTCCCTTGGTTTGAGTCACACTCTGTTTATTCAGGCAATACTGCGTGCTGCGGACCAACAGCTAATAGTTACACGCCAGTTGGAAGTATGTGGAGCAGCACACATCTCTGATACCTGCAGCAGCCTCTCCATTTCTAGGTTTGCCAGTGTCTACCAACACGGTAAGTAAACTTACATCTGTATAGCTTCTGGCAGGCAGAACGAGGGCATTTCTGTAATTCCTACAGGCTGCTCAATCTGCAATCCCAGGATGCCAAGGGGACTGATTTGTCACTACCAGGGTATCTGGAGAAAGATTAACCTCAAAGTTCTGATCACATTCCTTAACAAGACGTTAGAAATTACATACATGAAAGCAAGACTAAGGGTTTTCTTTAAATCATTTTATGACCCTGTCGATGCAAAGAAGACTCATCAGTGAAGGGACAACTGAAATCAGAGCAAATATATTTGAAATGCAAAATTCAATTCAATCAAAAAGTATACATTAACAAAAGTAAATAAAAAATTGTGAAAGAATATACAAAAGTTCCCTTCTTCCCCTCCTCCCCCTTTGAATTAAATAGGTTGAAAACCCCTTAGTTTCTCTACTCAAACCCAGTCAAGCCCTCAAGTGAAGTTTCAAGTAGTTCTCATGGCAGTAATGCAGTTTTGATAGTTCAGACAGTGTTTAATTTTGTTAGAGGCACATATATGACACACATACGGCATAAATATTTTGCAGTTTTAAAATAGAACTCTAAGCTGATTCTTGCAATACGTCACAAGTTAAGGAGTGGTTCTGGAAACCTAGAACTACTGCATATGCTTTATGTATGGAGAGTGGTCACTCCACCATCACTAACAGGGCACTGTAAAAACACTGCATTCCATGCTGCTGCTACTTTTTTATTTAGCAGGAGAGAAGAAATGGGTCTTAAGTCACACTGCACTTTATGCAAGATAGCATCCAGTGTGGGAACTGAAACTTAGCACCTCACCTTCCCGTTTTAGTGACTCCCTCCGTCAACACTGCACCTACACAATAGCAGTGTGCTGTAAACTCATGGCAGCACCAAAGCCTAATGTGTGGTAGGCAGATGAAAGCAGTAGGATGTCCCTGAACACCTCTTCTGAAGTCCAACTGCAGCAGAGCAGTTCACCCAGCTTCTGTAATGTTAATCAGCACTTGCTGTGTACCCCTAAAAGTACTCATTTCATTCACCCCAGGTTGAAAGTGTTTACAGCAGGAGCATCCTTTCACTAACTCTTTTCAGACTATGCAAGGTCAGTATTTATACAGCCTCTGCGGGTTTATTAATTTCAAGCAATCGGTGTATAAGGAGAGCATGAAATGTTCACTAGGAGACTTTCCTACCTTTAGGCTTCTCTCACTTGAAACAAAAGCCTAAAGAAAACTTTCAGATTCCACCCCTACCAGCAGAACCTGGCTCATAAATATAGCATAGGCTTAGGATTAATCAAAGGTGTGCTTCACTGTCCAGCTACAAAAACTCCTTTAAATTAATCTTTTGTCACATTACTCCCTAAATGTGCCCTCCCGTGCTCCTCATAAGGTAGCATACTGTTGCCTGCAACTTGACAACCACTGAAATACGAAAAAAATCTGGAATCTGATTTTTCCATTCCAGCACATGTTCTACCATTCCCTGCTGAATCAAGCTCTGGATGAGTGAAAGCAGCACAACAGCTCCGAGAGGCTCATTTGTTTGTGTATCAGTGCCCCTTGTTCCACCTTAATTAGGAAAAAAAAAGTCTGCAGTTCGGTACTGCAGCAGTGGGGAAATTCCATAGTGATACAGAAAGATTATAGCAGCATCTAGTGCAGGACAGTAAACTGTATTTGACTGGTATTCTTTGGCTAAAAAAAACAACAAAAAACCAACAAACAAACAGAAAACCAGTCACACCTTGCAATTTGCAATCTGAATACTGAATGCAATGATTTAATGGCATATATGGGGGGGGGGTGAAGTCCCACAGTTTTGAGTCAATGCATTAACACCAGGATTTCTTGCTCAGTACTAAGCTGCCCCTGCAGTCACTCCCAGCAGCTGATTCTCTCCTGCTCGGGGATCAGGCTCCAGTTGGGCGAAGGCCTGTCAGTGGCCAGCCAGTCAAAGTCATCCACCAGGTTCCAGTTGTTTCTGTCCCTGTCCAGCCCAGACGACTCGAAATCTCTCTCAATGCCAGGGTAGCTCCAGGTGTAGGGGGCAAAGGAGACCCTGGTGCAGTCCTCGATCACGGCTCGGCTGGTCACCTGCACGTAGAAGCGGCTGCTGCGGGTGCGATGGGTGCGGAGCTGCTGGCAGGCCAGCGCCAGGAGGCAATCGCTGCAGCCGTCCACCACCACGGAGGTGGACACGGGCCCGCAGAGCACGGTGCAGCCGCGGCAGTCGCGCACCCGCAGCGTGTTGGCGTTGCCGCGGAGCCGCACCTGGCAGCCGCGCAGCTCGCACAGCAGCACGTCGCGCTGCAGCAGCTCCGCGGGGCCGAGCTCCAGCTCCTCATCCTCGACGCCGCTGAACCCGCACAGCGGCGGCCCGCCCGGCTCCCCTTCGGCGGGCCCGTAGCCGGGAGCGGGCGCAGCCGAGGCGGCCGGAGCCCGGGCGGGCTCCGCAGGGCGCGGCTCGGAGCCCGGAGCCGCTTCCTTCTTGACGGTCCGGAAGGCGAATCTCTTCTTGGGCTGCAGCTGCTGGCGCCGCGCCGCCAGGTCGCTCTGCAGCCGCGCCACGGCCTCCTGCCCCTGCCTCACCTCGTAGGGCGCCAGGAACCGCACGCTCTCGGTCAGCAGCTTCTGCAGCCCCTGCAGCCGGGCAGCCGCCTCCTCCAGCAGCCCCGCCGCCAGCAGCCCCTCCAAGGCCTCCCGCTCGCGGGTGAAGGCGGCGATGAAGAACTCGCTCTGCTCCTCCTTCACCACCTGCGCCTCCTTCTTCTGCCGCTGCCGCTCCACGCCCTGCTGCCGCTCCGCTTCCCTCCGCTGCAGCCGCTCGGGCAGCACCGCGGCGGCGGCCGCCCTCGGCTCCTCGCGGGGCGCCTCAGCCTCCCTCGCCGCCTCCATCTTGCCACCGCGCCTCTCCTCCCGGGCACTAAGCGGCCCGCCCATTGGCTGCCGGCAGCCCCGGTTGCGCCGGCGCCGCCGATTGGCGGGCACAGCGCGGCCCGGTGGGAGGGGGCCGCGGCGCTTTAAAGGGGCCGGCGCCCGGCCGCGGGATGGGGTGAGTGCCGGCGGCAGGTGCCGCGCCGTGCCGTGCCGAGCCGAGCGGGGCGCGGAGCCGGGGCCCGCGGTAGCGCCGGGGCATAAATAACCGCCGCCCCCCTCCTGCCCCCCGCGCGCGCAGCTGCCGTCTCCCTTCTCCTCATCCCATCTCACAGGCCGCGGGGGTACCCCGGCTGCCGGCGCGCCCAACCGCGCCTCGCCTCTTCTTTTCCCCTACCGCGGGGCTCTGGGGGTGCAGGGGTGCGGCTGGGGCCGCAGAGCGCGGCGGCGCTTCCTGAGCCCGGGGCCGTGCGGTGCCGGCGGGCGCGGAGCCCCGGGGCTGGGCGGTGGTGCGGTGGCAAAGCGTCCCCGCTGGCTCCTTGTGTGGAGCGGGCGTTAGGAGCTCGCAGGTAGCGGTGTGGAGGTGCTGCCGAGCGGGCTGTGTTGGCTCCTGGCCGCCTGGTTACTCTGCGGGGTGTTTGGTGCCCAAAGAGAGCTCGGTGGTTGAGGGAGAGCTGTGCCCGTGGTTACTGCGCCCTAGGGAGAGGGCCGTGAGGGATGCGCGCGGGCCTACCTGCGATCAGAGTGAGGAGGGCTCTCTTCACGGGGTTGGTTTTCACGGTTAGGAAACACGCTTTAAGTACAAAGTGGGAAAGCGACCTTCGTTCCAGTGTATTTTGAGAACTGTGCTTCTGTGTCACGGAATGTTAATTTTTGCAAGGGAAGTTAACACACAAAGCACTCTCCTAAGAGAAATAAATCCCATCCAGTTCTACAAATACCGTGTCCCATCCCTTTGCATTTCAAAGTGTCCTACGGTAAATTAGCATCGGACCTACACCTATCAGTGGAAGACAAAAGGTGGTAAACCCGAAGCAGAGACTCCAAATTTACTGTCTTCTAATAGGGTGATAGCATTGATCTTTTTTTGGTCTAATTCTCCTGTTGGAAAATACAGATTGTTACGCTACTGAAGGTTAGCGCTTTAAAGTGGCCTTAGCTTGAAAGTAGCAATTGTTTTCTGTTCCCTGAGAAATACGGTATTAGGCGTAACACTGTTAGAGTTAGTAGGGAGTACCTGGATCTTCTATGTAGTAATGCCAGCACAGTTAGGATGATGAAAGGAGGACAGTGAAATACCTTTAATCCTCGTAACGCACAAAGTACTTGCACTAAAATAGAGAATATTCCTTCCTTGTAAAGGGTACAGGATGAAATCGGAGGGTTTTCAAGGGGCTGCTGTGTAACAGCTCCTGTTGTGCAGGAGCAGGTTGGGTGGGGGGCAGCAGCATGGGTAATATCCTGGTGAATGCATTACGGCTCTGAACTGTCACAGTGCCGCATGGTTCATGCGGCCAGAATTTTGTTCCTGAAAATACAGCTTTCTGAATCAAAACCCTGCAGAAAGGGAGAATGCTCAGTCGTGAACAAGGACTTGTTGAAACGGTCTCATTTAAGTGGTTGGGGTTTTCACTACCAATGTGTTTAAATACACATTTATCATGTCTTAGGCATTTTTGCTAGTAACGGATGAAATCCAGGTCTGCAGCAATTGCAGTAATGTTACATCGGGTGAGAATACGGTGCTGTTCGGTCACTGTAAGAAAAAAGAAATCCTTACTTCCATATTGTTTCCTAAGGAATAGATCTGAGTTCTGTTTTTACATAGCAGGCTTCTTTGCCTTACGCTCCCACCGCTACGGGTGATACGTGTTATCCCATACATGAGAATATGGACAGAAAAAGGCTTTTGCTGTTTTTCAGTATGCACAAATGTGACTGGCTTTGGTGTTGTTACACAAATACGACCTGAGAGATGAACTGCAGTGGGTGAAACAGTTTTATACCTGAAAAGATTACAGTAAAACATTAACGTGCACAGCCTAAATTAAATGTTAAGTATTTTATACTGCAGTATAATGGTAAGGTTTTATTGCATTTGGTCTTAGAAAGCTTTGGAAAGTATTTTGTATTGGTTTTAAATTAACGAGGCCCAAATACACTTGTGAATAGGGGCGTTTGGGAGAGACCGGAATCTTTTCACCTTGCTAATGTGCACAAATAGCCCCAGATAAAAGAACGTGAAGTGTACTGAAAAATTAAAAAGGAAGCAGTAAAATTCTGCCAACTGTCTCATCTTGATGTTCCAAAGTTATTTCCTACACCTACAGTTTGAGGTTTTGGTATGACTGATATTGGTGTATATTTATCTTTTTGTGGTAATACAAATACTGACAATATTCTCCCTGTCTTTGCTGGCAGCAGCTTTTAAGGCTCTTTAGCGTGCCCTAAGCCATAGAGAACAGAGGATTTACAACTTCCCAAACAGTAACCACCTGAATAACAAACACGTAAGCCTTCTAGCTCAGGTTTGGACTCATGTTGGTAAGCTGTAACAAGCAGTTTAGCCGTCCGAGGCTATTAGATAAAAGTAAAGTTACAATTTTTGCCTGCCTGCTGTTCTCCCCCTCACTCCCTACTTTAGCTCCTCCCTGGTTTGAAGGTAGATAGCAGTCATTTTACAAAGACCTTTTGCCGCTGCTTGGACTGCACAGGGTCATTTGTTTCCCAGAAGCTGCACTTGCTAACTTGGATCTAGTCCTGTGAAACTCCAGAGCATAAGCTCCGTTACGCGTGCTTCCATGCTTAAATCTGTATCCCTTAGTGATGGCTCTTGAATGCTTTCTATCTGAAATACTGACTTAAAGTGGCTCAACAGCATTAACTGGTAACCTTTGGAAGTGAGATGTATTGCATAGTTCGGGTGAAGGTTCAAGATTCTGTCTCATTCCATCCGTATTTTAAGAAAAGTGGGGAGTAACAGTGACATCTACAGAGGCAACTGGCTTTCCAGCCTCACAGCAGTGGATTCTTAAACCTGAGGTTCCTGAGCTTGCAAAGTCAAGGACCTCATAGTTGTGGCACTATCTTGAGATGCAGATTTGTGCTCTCTCAAGCAAAGGAAGGAAGCAGATGCAGTTATTCCGTATCATCGGTCTGTGTTCCCAGCACTGACGTTCTTAGTTCCAAACAGTGGAATGCCTCTACCTTGCGCTGTCGCACACAGAATGCTGGTTTGCCTTTTAGCTGTGTTTTCAAGAAAAGCAGCAGCCCTTTGTCTTGCATGGAGCTCTTTCTTATCTGATCGATGGGATCTCTGCTGTTACACTGAGTTTCTCCAGAAGAGATTAGCACATGAACATAATTACTTCTGGCTATAAAGTAGGTACTTCAGTGGCTTGTTTAACCGTCATGGCATTCTACTGCTGGTTTTAGCAAGGGCTCTTTGAACTCCTCTGGCACTGTGATCAAGCATTAAAGATGTAAGCCGTAGTATGATCCATTTAAGATACTGTACACGACATTTTTCACGGTGGAATGGGGCTGCAATAAAAGTGACTGTCAAGCCACTGTATTCCTGTTCTCCTGGGGAAAAAAAAAAAAAGGATAAGTTTCTTTACCATTACGTTTGGCATACTGGTTGTTTTTTAAAAAGCTTATGTTTGGACTAAAATGTAGTGCTTTATGTACTTGGCCATATGGAAAGGCAAGACAATGTAAAATGTGTGTGGTTTAGATCACTAATTAGGGAGTTAGAGCTACAACTGTGAAACTTACTCGGTGCATCTTAATTGCTGTGAGTAATGCAAAAGCTTTGAAATGTAATCCTTGGGAATGCTTAAGATACTAATTATATTCCGACCAGGCAAGGTGCACTTGTTGGGAAACGAGTCTGAGCTGGTCCCTTCCGAGAACATGGTATTCTCAGTGCCAAAGGTGGAGAAACAAACTCGTTTCTAGGAAAATGAGCTACCCTCCAAAAGCGGGGACAGACTTCAAAACGTAACCTCTTACGACAAGGGGCACCTCAAGACGAACAAATCAAGACACAATACACAGAGCACAAAAGCTCAAGAGCAGAAGAGCACTTAGGTTCGGCCCAGGCCTTGCTGTAATGGGTATTTAGAATCCTAAACTTGCTAATTGACAGTTCAATTGTGAGGACCGAGTGCGTGAGCTGCAGATGCTGTCTTACGCACTCTCACTTCGAAGTAATAATTCTATTAGTCCTGGAGCTCCTAAGAGAATTTCCCGGTTTGGAATTGCAAATATATTCCTCCTTTTTTTTTTTCCTGAGTAATTTATATAAAAATAACTTGAAGTCATTATATCCAAGTTTCCTGATTTTTTTTTGTTAGCTCTCCTGTAGTACATTCATTAGTTAACCAAGCTAAGAATACTGAGAAACTTACTCTGCCTTTTATTCATCTCATGAGCAAAATCTGTCTGCTCTCATTGTGAAGGAGGACTGCCTCCTCCTGTTATTAGCATTTATTCTTCAGTCTCAGTCTGAGAATAAATTCCATTCATGGCAATACACTTTTTAGTGATAATATTAAGACTTATCTTTCAGCAGTCTTTATTCATACCCAAATCTTACCCAGCCGGTTTCTAGTAGGGTCCCGGAAATACCCAAGTAAAACCATTCTTTCTCAAAAGTTGGGACTTAGATGGTGCTTCGTTCCTAATGTCCATTTTGTCTTGTCCTTCTACAAGTATAGCTTAGCATGTTTGTGTTATTAATGTTTTTGGTATAACTTACTATTCCACTGTTTCTATTTCCCCTCTAATGCTTCACTTCATGTTTTAGGTCTCCATTTTTTGTTTAAGTTCCTTCTGGTTTTATTTAGTGTTTTTTAAATCATCCGCAGCACCTCGGTTGTATTAGGAATGGGCCTTTTGTTACTTTCAAGGCCCAGCTGCTGGTTTGAATTACTATTGCTTTAAAAAGCAAACACAGCAAACCCTTGTGTCCATCTCCTCATTACACACCGGTGTGTTTCTGTATCTTTACTTAACTATATTTTTTCCCCATTCATCTCTGAATATTATAGAGGCTTTCCCGAATTTCTGCCTTCATTTTTAGTTTAAATTGCTTATATAAATCTTGGCTGTGTAAGTTGTTGAAGTTTATTTCTCCAGACACCGTAGTAAGGTTCTATCTGC